GGGAGAAACTGTCAAATGATAAAACAGAATCTCCCATGGGTGAAGGATACAAGTTTTCAGATTGAAAGCAACGCATAAGTGCGCAGGATAATGAATGGGGAAATAAAAACCTACACTAAGGCACATAATAGAAATTTTTCAGAATATTGGGGTTAAAACTTTGGGAAGAAAATCCACACTGAAGGATATGGTATCAGGTGGTGTTAATGAATTCTTTAGGAAAATAACGTCTAATGCCAATCAAATCAATTGAGAATGAGGGTAGAATAAAGCCTTGCTCAGAAGTGTAGGGTCTCAAAAAGATGTATACCTTGTGTACTTGTTCTCAGAAAGCCATCAAGGAATGTGCTCCCATAAAATGAAGCAATGGCCAAAAAAAGAAGGGATCTGGGATCCAACCAGGAGAGGGACAGGAGATTTCTCAGACTGACCAAGGGAGGTCCTATAACCCTCATGGTGCAGCAGGCAGCCCAGGACAGAGCAGGATGGTGAGACTCCAAGGGGATGCTGGCAGAAAGAAAAATAGAAAATTGAGAGAAGAAGTGTTACAAAGAGCCCTACTGGAGGTTGTGGGAAAGCTTGGCCAGAGATTCAGGAAATCCAAGTGAATGGAAAGGTTGTGTAAGAATAAAAACAATAACATATAACTGGATTCAGCAGTGGTCAGTATCTGCATAGTCACATAGTAACAGAGCACGGGATGGTTGAGCAGGGAACTCGTGGCTGATGTAACCAATTTACAGGTTTCAGAACATCAGCTTTATTGAAGTATTAAGTATACTTAGTAAAGTATAATTTACTTAAGATGAACCCATTTCAGGAGTACCGTTTCATGGATTTTGACAGATGTGTGCAGCCACGTAACCACTGTCACAGTCAAGACACAGAACATTTCAGTGCCCCGAAGATTCTCGCGAGCCCCTTCCCAGTCAGCCGGTTGGTTGTCCCCCTGCCTGGCCCCAGCAGCCATGATCCGTGTTTTCCCTCTTCAGATGAGATCTGTCGTTTCTGGCATTTCCTATAGCCATGTTGTGTGCTTTCCCCCGGCCGCTTTCACTCCCCGAGCGCTGCTGCGACTCCGTCCACGTGCTTGCACCATCAGCAGTTCTTCTGTCATTGCTGAGTGATTTCTCTTGTATGGATGTGCCACCATCTATTCGTCCTTTCACCTAGATTTAACTTTTAAAGGGACCCTGTAGCACTGACCCCAGGAGGCCGGAGTGGAAGCAGGAAGACCCATCTCAGGTGGTCCAGGTAAGAGATGAGCACGTCTGGTCACACCAGCCCCAGTGCACTCCCCAGACTCGCCAAGCACGTCCCGGCCTGAGGGCCTCTTCACCTGCCTTCTCAGCCCACCTTCTCCCAGAGGCCTCCCTTCATTCCGGTGTCCCTTCAGCTGCCACCTCCGCAGAAGGACTTTGCCTGAGACAGCACCCTCCCCCGCCTCATGTTTCTTCATCGCTGTCATCCCATCTTCTTTGTGTGCGTATCGAGCGTCTGCTGCCCCCGCCAGAATGCGAATGTCGTGGCAGCCGTGTCTGGAGCGCAGGCATTTTATGAGTATTTGTGGGGTGGCTGTCGGCGGGCTCCCTGAGAACAGGGTCTGCATCTTTCCTCTTTGTCATTTTGGGCCTGGCGTATAGAAGTGCAAGACGTATCACCTGGATGATTAAAGGATGAGAGGGAAGCAGGTGAGGTTATAAAGCCATAAATGTTAAATTTCCACCAGGATGTGCCCTCAGGCGGTCCCAGGTGCAGTTCCCCATGGAGAGACAGGCATTAAAGAGCGAAGGCCCTGGGAGGCCGCAGGTGGGGAAGCTGCTGCCCTGAGCGCTGAACGTCTCCTGGTGTGCACAGGGGACGACTGAGTGGATCGTCCCTGCCCCGGGCCTCTGGCCACTGACATTTGCCTGCCTCGTTCTTCTCTCCCAGGGCTCACTCTCTCAGCACAGCTCTGCAGCAAGCGTAGCTCCCCGAACGCTTGACCAGCTGGTAGAAATGTCCCAGAACAAAGTGGGGGATAATTAACAGCTGTCGATTGATCTGGGCAGGAGGGTAGCTGCGCTTGTAGCAACAATAGGGCTTAATTAAAATCGGCTGCTTTGGCAGCTATTGCGGCGCTGCCTTGATCTCTGGAGCTTCCGTGTGGCCGCTTTCGTATTACAGACACATCCTGCAATTCCAGGTTTGTTTGTAGGTGATGTGCCTGCCGTGGTTGTTGGGTGATAATTATGTAGATTTTCCTCTGGAACTTAATTTCACGAACTGTCAAAACGGACTTGTTATATTTATCTCTTAAATCATTAGGGAATAATAATTAGACCAAAAATGGTTTAAAATGTTTCTGTATTAATAATTGTTTCTAGCTTGAAACCACTGATGATAATTGGTTTGTGGGATTGGTATTTGGAACTGTCTTAGGAGATTCTAAATAAGAAGGCGCCTTCCGCGCTTGGCTAGGGGGCAGTTTGAGCGCCGTTGCTGTGCCGTCGGGGACTGGAGAAGCAGGATGATGGGATGTAGCACGGCGATTACCCTTCAGTGAGACTCGCTGTCTGATTGTTTTACTGTGTGAACTCATTTGATGACAGCAGAAGGTGCTATTAACTCTTCCTTCTGCAGATTTGAGCATCAAGTAACTCACTCAAAGCTGAGTGGCCAGTGAGTTCTGCAACCCAGACTGGAGCCCAGACAGTCTGACTCCAGAGCCCATAGTTTCAGTGCTTTGCCACACCGATTGTATTTTGTAAGTCCTTACTGCATGTCACGTCCTGAACAGATACTGGTCCGGCTAAGTCCTCACATCCAGGCAGGTGCGATTCATGGTGTAGCAGAGGAAACCAAGGCTATTTACCCAGGTCATTTCTTGTTTCTTTCATTGGTTCAACATGTGTTTACTGAGAGCTTAACACGAGCCAGGCATTTTCCAGGCCCTGGTGTTACTTCAGCGATCCAGGCAATTGTCAGAAGATGCATGGGATTCTTGTTCTTGTGATGCTTGTATTGCAGAGGTAGGAGACGTGCGATAAACGAGAAAATTCCAGATAATGAGAATCAGAGAATTAGAACAGGGTGACGTGCTGAGGAGCAGGGCGTCATTCCTTTAGATGGTTCTTAGGGAGGCCCCTTGTGTGGGGAAGTGACATCTCAGCTGGGATCTGAGTGAGGAAGAAGCCCAGAGGAAGGACACTCAGGCCGAGGCGAGGGAGGACTGCCACTGCCCCAGGCCGTGAGCTGATGGGGGGAGCGGGTGAGGAGGTCGTCAGCGGGAAGGAGCTCGGATCGAGGCCTCGCTCAGCCAAGGTGGAGACTTTTGAGTTTTATTTGTAAGCACAATGGGGAGATGTTGGAGGGTTTTAATCAGGGATGTAATGTGATCCGATTTTCGTTTGTAGAAGATCACATTGTCTGTTGGTGACCGGATCGTGGCGCTGTTGCCATCACCCGGTAAGAGATGGCGTGCGCTAGAGCGGTGTGCATGGAGAGAAAGGAGTGTGTGCGTGGACTGGGAACGTTTTGGAGGAGAGGTGGCGTGGCCTGCTGATGAGTTTTGTGTAGGGATCCAGGGACAGGTGAGTTTGGCTGGAACCACTCTGCAGATAGCGATGTGGTTAGCCAAGTGGAGGAAGCCGGGCTTCAGCAGCGCGGGAGGGTCTGTTCAGACTCGCTGAGTTTGCGTGCCCCCGGCCCCCCTGTCAGATGGGCATCTCTGCGTTTGTGCAGAAGTCCAGAGAGTGATTAGGGCTGGAGATCCAGCTCTGAGGGTCTGTGGTACGTTGTTGGTACCTAAGAGCATGGAACTGGAGATGGCCTTGGAGAGAATGCAGATGGCGCGAGCACCAAGTCCTGGGACATGCCAGTGTTCACTGGTTGAGCTAAGAAGGGCCGGCCAGGGAAAGAGAAGGAAAACCAGATGCACGCGGGGTCAAGGAGGCCAAGAGAAGGAAGTGTTTTTGGGAAGAGGGAGTGGAAGGAATACTGCAAGTAAATTCAGAACAGGGAAGTGACTGTTGGGTTCAGCAACATGAGGGTCATTGCTGACCCTGTGCAGAGCCATCTCAGGGAAGCCCGAGAGGAGATAGACGTAGGTGTGGAAGTAAACAGCACTCAAGGCCCTTCCAATGGAAGGAGCAGAGAAGCGTAGTAGTCAGTGGGGTGTGAGGCTGGCAGGGTCTTGCCAAACGGGTAACGGAGCATGTTTATTTCTGGTGGGAAGGCCCACGAGGGAGGGGTGTGCCTGCAGGGGTGATGTCCTCGCTGAGGCGAGGCGGTGCAGGCCCAGTGCCAGAGTGGGAGCAGGTCCACGTGGCCACGGTAGCAGGAGGGGTGCAGAGAGGGCGGATGCCAGGGCAGGGGGTGTTGGCGGTTGGGTGGTGAGCACAGGAAGGACCCATGGCTTCCAGTGTGCCCCATGACGAAGAGACAAGTGCATCAGGTGGGGTTTGAGTGGGGACAGTGGTTTTTGTGGCAAGAGGAGAGGGCGTGAAGTAGTCCTTTGTAGAGAAGGAAAGTAGACTTACTAGGGGCTCGCAGTGGAACTGTGTGTTCTCTGGCAGCAGCTGGATGCAGAAGTGGGCAGGGGGCAGATACTTGGCTTTAACCAGGGTTGGGGTTTCCAGGTGAGGGGGCGGGGAGACCAGCGTGGGTAGGGGTGCAGGGCTGAAGGGAGTGGCAGGGTGCCCAGCCCCCTCTCCACCCACCCTGCTTCCAGTGTGACAACTGTTCCCTCTTCCTCCCCAAAAGAAGTGCCCACCAGGCAGCTCCTTCTGTGGCGGTGACTGCTGACGGAGCACTCCTGGCCGCAGCCTCGCCGCCTCCCTCCCCTGCTCCTGAACCTTTTCTTTGGGTTGGCTCAGGAAAGTGGGTGGCTGTCTCAAAAGTCGGCTAAAGTCTGTGTCAGAACAGGGTCTGTCTCCAAATCTACTTGGAGTAATTCAACATATAAATCAATAAAATAAATACTACCAGGCCTGAGCGATACCTTTTCATTTTCTGCCTAGGTTTCAGAGCAGGCTTCTGGTGAAGGAATTGCCCAAACCGCTGGTGAGACCCCTGGCTGCCCTGCTCGAAGGCTCCTGGCCTGCTCCTCCCGCCGGCCTGGGGCACCAGCTCTTCCGCAGCCCCTCTCAGCTCTGTCCCCCGCGGGCCGTGGTGTAGGAAGTATCCCTGTTCCCGTTGTTCCTCTAGCGTACTTTCTTAATTAAAGAATACCGTGCAGCCCACCCTCCCTCCAGAGGCGGATCTGGAAGCCGAGAAGGGGAAGGGAGCCCTATGAGGGCAGGGCCAAGGCCTCATGGGATGGATGCAGCATCTTCTCGGGGAGCTCTGGCACCCCGGGACTCGATCTTCTGCTTTCTAGCACGTGCACAGCTCACTCCCAAGGCTTCTGTTGACCCTTACAAGACAGAGAAACCGAGGGCAACCTCCTTTGCAGTTCCCATGGAAATGAGGTGAGAGACGTCGACTACAAACGTTCTGTCCCCAGAGGGTGGGGCGGGATGGCGTCAGGGACGGGGAGAAGGTTTTCGGGAACTCCTGCGTCAGACCCAGGCTCTAAGGCCGTGGCCCACACTGACTTATAAAACCGGTTTCCATTTCTGTACAGTGGAGGCCTGTGACTGTGCCCTGCCTTGGGTGCCATGGGATCGTCGTGCCCACTATTTCTTTGCTTTGCTTTCTTAGTGGGCACCATTCTCGATGTCAGGGATGCCAGAATAATCTGTTGGACTTGAAATGCTGTAGGCCCATGGCCTTGTTTTTGTTTTTGGAAGCAGCAGGTTTGGCTTGCTAATAACCACACGCGGCTCAGGCAGGGGTTAGTGGAGTGGCAGGGTGGCGTTAGGAACGTGTACCCACGGGCAGGTGCTGCTTTGGGGTTGGAGGTGTAGCCCGCATTGTGGACTGTCCACGCTTGCATCAGTTAGAGGCTCAGAATCCACCGGTGAGGGAGTTTGCCCGTCTCTCTCTACAGTTTCCTGATGTGTTTTTTCCCTCTGCTGCTTCCCCTTCCTGCGCTCTCCTGCACGCGCCTTCCTCCGCGGCGCACTGCGATTACTGGGGTCCTCGTCTTGCCCGCTCCCCGGGGGCTGGGCGCAGCCCTCCTGCTTAGGCAACGCTCATCCCACAGCCAGCTCAGCATCTGCAGGACAGTGTCGGTCCGGTTTGCTCCTCTTCACCTCCCTCACTCCCCTTGCTCTCCCCCCAGAGGCTCCTTCCTGGTGCTGCTGCTGCGGGAATGCTTCCAAGACCTGAGCTGGCTGGCCCTCATCCACAGCATCCACGGGGAGGTGGGACTGCTGGTGACCAGCATCGTCCCTCAGACCCCATTTTTCTGGGCCATGCACATCACCAAGGTATAGGTTGGTGGCCCCCTCGGGCTTCTGTGCCTTCTTGGGGGGCCTTCCTGGGGCGAGCGTGGTGATGGGGTCCGGTCAGTGGCAGAGATCCAGAGTGACCTCAGTCTGACCCCTGTGTTCAGCCTCATTCTCTCACCCACCTCGTAGCTTTGTTGCTTTGGGGCAGACTGGTGGTGCTAACGTAACAGGCGACATCTGCAGGTACAGATGTGGGGCGCAGTGCAGGCGGTGTGGCCACTGCGTTTGTGCAATCCGCAGACTCTGCACCAGAACATGCAGGCGCTGTTCAGCTCCCTGGCAGAGGCGGAGGAGCGGCAGCCTTACCTGGACGACTCCGCTGTGCGGCGCGGGGCCCGCTGTCTGGCAGAGTACCACCTGGGCGCTTACGGCCACGCCTGGAACAGGTGTGTGCCCAGGCAGGGTCGGAGGGTATGGGAAGAGCCGCTCCCTCCCTTCCTCGCTTCTCCCTCCTTGGGGCTCTGCTTTCTGTCCTGCTGTTGCTTCTCTCAAGATCTTCTCTGTTTATCATCATCTCCCCACCCAAGGAGGAGAGAAGCAAAGCAGACCAGACTCACTGTCCCCCTCTCTCCCAGCCTCCACCTTCAGACCCTCTGTGTTGAGGACTGCTGTGCTCAGCACTGATGAAACAACCCTCCTCCCTCTCCCTCCTTCCCTCTGGCCAGGTGCTGGGTGCTGGACAGAGTGGACACCTGGGCTGTGGTCATGTTCATTGATTTTGGCCAGTCGGCCACCATCCCTGTGCAGTCTCTGCGCAGCCTGGACAGCGACGACTTCTGGACCATCCCACCTCTGACTCAGCCGTTCATGCTGGAGAAAGGTGAGACGTCTTCCGTCCTCTGCCTGAGGATTTCAGGGGCAGGAGTTGCCCTTGCCTGCCCCTGGGATCTCAGCGGGGAGTGGTGTGGTAGGCGGAGGCCCTCAGGGTGCCCTTCATTCTCTGTTCTTTCCATCTAACCCCAGATTTCAGCATCTGCCCCCAGCAGAGCCGCCTCTTGAGCACTGGTTTTCATACCTGGGCTCTGGAGCCCCAAGATCCATAGAGGGACCTCAGGTGCTGCCCAAGGGCCAAGTTCTCTGGGTGGGGAGAGGGGAGGACAGGCCTCCTGCTCCTGCGTCTGCTGGGGCCACTCAGCTTCATCTGTTTTAGGTACTTTGAGTTTTGCTTAAGCTTTCACTGGGAAAGGATTCTGCTGTGGAAGAAGACTAGCATTTGAAAGTCAACGACAGATGCTAGAGTACTACACTTGGGATCTTCTCCTGATGTGCTATTCCTTCAGCCCTAGACACCTGTGAGAGCCTCAGTTTCCACATCCTGGAAATGGACCTTCTTGAGGTCAAAGTTAGGTGAAATGTCAAAGGATGAAGGAATACTGTGGGGGATCAGGAGGAGAAGAGGCAGTGGACACACACACATACACACACAGAAAGATGGAAAAGTATCTCCAAGGCTCCCTGGGCGGTTGACAGGGCTTGTGCCCAGTGGGCAGGGAGCACCACCCAGAGGTCGTCTTGGGTCATTGCATGAAGAGGGCCCCAGCTGCCCAGCCAGGGCAGGAGCTTCATTCAGCTGGCCCAGAGAAGAGGAGCCTCCTGTCCCAAAGAGCAGCCCAGCCTGTCAGAAGGGCCAGAGTACCAACCCAGACGTGGCCCGCTGGCAGGAGTGTGCTCCCCTCGCATGTGGACTTGGAGACAGTGCTGAGAAGTCAGACAGGTGTACCATTTTCTTCCCTTTATAGAGAAGGAAAATAAGGCTCAGAACAGTGAAAGGATCTTCCTCACATTTCATAGCAAGAACATGGCACAGCCGGGGGACAGAACCTGGGTCTGACTTCTCATGGCCAGTTTCATGCATACAAACAGCTCCAGGCTGTGGGGATGGCCGGACGGCGGAATGGCGGAGTTGAGTAAGGGAAGATCTCTTGGAGAAAGGGTTTTGACCACCTCCCTGCTTTGCCATGGTCCAGCGTGTGCTTGCTTGCTCTTCATGGGGGAAACCTCTCTGCCCCTTAACCTTTGTCTCTCCAGCTGAACCCTCAGAGCAGAGTTGAGTGAACAGTTTTCTGTCCCCAGTAGAATTTCTCATTAAAGAATATAAAATCCCAAATCCCTGTAATTATGTGAACAACAATGATAGTGTCTCTACTCCTTTTATCTGCTCTTACCGTGCCCTCCCCTCCCACCTTCTCAGCATTTCTCTTCTGGGTTCATCCTGGGCAGGGTTAGCAGGACTAGCAGAGACTTGCTGGTGGGAGCTGGTCGGCAGCCAGAGCCCCGGCCTTGCTTCCCCGCTTTGCTCCTCCTGCCCAACCAAGGGCTTCTGAGGTTTTGTTGTGTTTTGTTTTGCAGACGTTTTGAGTTCATGCGAGGTTGTCCATCAAATCCTCAAAGGGAAAATCACTGGCGCTTTGACCTTTGAGGTAACTGCCCCTGGGTCTGACTTGGCTGTTCTCTCCCACTCCCGCCCTTGGGGGCCTCAGCTGCAGGCAGCTGCCTAGGCCCGGGGACTGTATTTACCTGGCCTTCTCTTAGAGAAAACAGACTGAAGTTATCCAGGAGGCTGGGTGACTGGCTGGGGGTGGTTTTCCTTCCCACCAAGAGTTCCTCTTTCTCTTTCTCTTCCAGTCGCACATCCTGAAGTTTGAGGTGTTTAAATAACGGGACTACCCTCACATGTTTCCTCTCCCCAGATCGGGAGTCGGCCTGCCCTGCCCTCTCGTTTCCCTTGGCTCCTGAGGCCTTGGAGGTGAAAAAGGCCAGACTGTGCCCAGGATTGATTTGATTTCTGTTGTGCCTTTACCCGTGGCTCACCTCTCAAAAAAGAGAGCAAAGTCTCATTTGTCATGTGTCTTCAGTTCCCTAGCTTGGCATGAACATTTGAACCAAACATAGGAAGCTACCAGTAGGCTGAAAGTCTGAGGCAGCTGGTATGTTCTTCCCGTCTCTTCTTTGCACCCCAGAGCATGATACGAGCCATCCTAACAGATTGTGGAGAATGGAGAGGCCCCAGCCTAATTTTCCTGGCTTCCATGTAGAATCAGGTAGAGAGCAATTAACCAATGAGCCATCACCTTGGCAAATAAACGTTGGCATGTTCCACGAGTGGGGTGACTGCTACTTCTTTCTAGCCGCTGCCGCCCTCTAGAGATCAAGAGCCTGCCCGTCTGTGGGCTCTGGGCCGCGCGAGCCCTGCCTGGGATGGAGACGCGCACTTGTGTGTAGCACGACCCCAAAGTGTGTTTCATTTCTCTCTGCCTCCTTAGTGGAGAGAAGAAAATTGTTTCATGATGATACTGCCGCCTTTTTTACGCTTTATTAGAACCCTAAACTAAAGGTCATAAAAGGGAGTGTTAGGTTTGACAGAAAAATGGAGGGTTCTCTGAGTTGGTGCTAACACACCTCACAGGAGTGGCATTTTCCTTTCCATCACGTGAACATGAACCCCATTATGTCTTTAAATAATTTTATTAGAGCCAAACTATTTAAATAGTTTTATTTGTTTCATCCTTTGGTAGATGAGAAAAATACATTACAAAATACATTATACAGAGGACAGCCACAGTACACATTACTAAAAACACGATCTACATTCCAGCCAGGGCTGGTGATAAGTTCAGAAGAAAGCCACAGAGGCCTTGAAAACCAGATTTCAGCTCTGTGGAATGAATTTTCCCCTTGTGTCCCCTCGTTATCTCAACCTCAGCATATATTAGCACCCCTCATCAGGTGGGTGTGGGTAGAGTTAGAGCAGCATTGAGTGGGGCTGGTGAACTCTCCATCCACCTAAAGCAGCAAGACGTTAAAATCCCTCAAAAGGGGGAGGAGGGGAGAAATGACCAAAGTTAAAATTGTGCTCAAAGCATTACAGAACTCTTCTAGCATCCTACAGGCTCCCAGGCAGCTGTCCCCACGCCTGGGTTTTCCAAGAGTTGGGTCTTTACATAGCCATCCTGGCCTCCGTCATTTCAACCTTTATTAGATCTGTGGGCATAGCCGGTCCTAAGAGGCTGGCTCAGCCCCTAAGCTTACTGTCCAGGAGACGCAGGCAGCACCTGCTAGATGCAGTCATGCCCAAACTTTTACAACAGCAGGTACAGACAACACAGCACTGACGGTTCTATTGCAGTACACAGACTCCCCACCTCACATTCTTTCCCCAGCAGTTCCTGGGCCTGGGGTAAGGACACAGGTGTATAGAACCCCCCCCTTAAAAAGCCAACCTTTTCCAGTAGGACCCACCTTGCGGGAGTGGCTTAAAAGAGTCCACCATTCTCCAAGCCAAATAACTTCAGGGCTATGCCTATCTTCTCTTTTACAAAACCAAAGGAAGCAAGAGACAAGAGGAAGGTGAGCAGAGCTTACCAATGATCACCGTCCATTGCTACTTAGAGGCCACTTTCTGGGAGGGAGAAGGACCAGTGAACACCGAAGCATCGTAGCTACACAGCGTATTGCTGAGGTCAGGGAAGGACCACACGCACGCTGGAGACTGTCTCCATCCCCACTCGATTCGTTGCAAAGGAATTCTATGAAGCAGCCTCTTGAACCTCATTTTCTTTTTCTTAGAAATTTGAAACCATCTGTGACTAGAAAAGTAGTCCTAAGAATTAAGATCATCATTTCAGCCTACTGCATCGTGGTTTAGCAGGCCAGGCTCTGCATTCCAAGGGGAACAAGCGCTGGTTGCTCCAGAGGCCTTCAGGAGAAATCTAGGGATGGACCAGGCGTGTGCTTCAGCTCCATGTTTTTCGTGCTTTAGCAGCAAAACGCAGCCTCTCATCTCTACCAAAGCAACAGTGGACTTGGTACCCCTCCCCCACCTCCCAAGCAGTTCAGGGGATGGGGTGGGATGTGGGAATAAAAATAAAGATGAGTCAAGACCAGCATCTTCAAATTAACAAACTGTAATTGTTTTCCCAAAGATACATTTTTTTCATACACATCCATCATACACTGTAACCAAAAAAAGCAGTGTACATGAAATAAGAGAAAATAAATTAAAAATCCATAGCATAGGTAAGGAGGCTCTAGTCTGGAGCACAGCTGAGTTTCCAGCAATATAAGGAGGCTCGAAAGTTTCTTTTATAAGAATGCCTGCTAGCAAGGGTTCCAGCAAGGTGGTTGGTCTGTAAGTCAGTCTTGAGTACTTGAAACAGTTCTGTGTGTGTTTTTTTTTTCCTTAGCGTTTAGAATAGCCATCATTGTCCTGCAATAGGCAGAGCTATCACGTCCAGGAAAAATGAGGGAGGGAACCACAGAGGCAGCGTGAGATCCAAATACAGCATTCAAAGGTAATTGGTCCAGTGGTGCCTGGGGAAGGAGGAAGGGGACAACACTCCGTGGTTAGCCATCTTCCTTTGGGGGTGTGTACCAGCCTGCAGAGAAACAGAACAAAACAGTCAGTGAGGTGGAGGCTGAGGCCCGCCCTCCCGGCCCCAACCACTGAAGACATCTCCAGCGTCACAGGCAAAACACTCTTAGGAAGGTTATCCAGTGCGGGAACAGAGGGGTATGGGAAGCTGAGAAGCTGCCTACCTGCAGACTGTAAGAAAAGGGGAAATGATGTGCCCAACCTGAGATGATAGGAGAGTTAGATGAGCTTTCTCAAAGGGTGGTCAGGAAGGGGGGCAGCACCAAGAGTATCCGTGATACCTCTGTAGGTGCTCTTCTGGGAGAAGAGGTTATGGACATGAGCCGCCTCCAGCCCTTTTTTGGAGAACTGGGGCAGGTGCCGTGTTAATGGGTGGTAAGGCTCAGAAACCAGAAGGTTTTGGCTAGAAGTGAAAACCTGGGGCCTGGCAAGTGTCCGAATCTCCTGAGTCCTGGCTCCAGCCTCACCGTTTTTTTCGTGGATCTGCACCAAGGACTTGTAGGACTGCTGTGCTCTTGTCAGACTGTATTGAGACTGGGGAGAGGAAGCCACCAGATCAGGCCATGGCCTGCTGTGGCCTTACTGCCCCTCACCTTCTGCAGGCTGCCACCCGGAGACCCAGGAGTCCCGACTCCTAGCACTGTGCTCTGGGGACACACTACCCTCCAGCTGGGAGGTCCCTTGGGGACATAATCCCACAGCTTCCTTTTCCAGACCTGTTCCCCGCCCCTGTCCCCTAAGTCTTAAGGTGCCCCTCAGGCCACAGCCCCCTTCCTGTTTCCACTGTGGGTGCCCCAGGCCCTCTCATCCAATGCCACAAGCCCTGGGGCCTTACCCTCTCAGTCCCTCAAAGGCAGCCTTGGCCTGCCAGTGGCCCAAACCATACTCGGCTCCAGCCAGCCCCGCCAGCCCCACCAGCCCCAGGCTCCTTACTTTGTTGGCTCCAAACTGCACTCGTGCTTTCCCCTTCACCAGTGTGGCACTGATCTGCATGATCACTGACTCTATGGAGTAGGCACTGCTCCAGCCCTAGGTGATGGGAGGGACAAAGCAAGTCAGGACAGAGCTTTCCGAGAAACCTCATGCTTGCTCTTCAGGCAAGCAGCTGCATCTATAGAAGGGCCCCTGCCCTCACTCCGAGGACAGCTACCACCTGTCTGCAAAGGTCAGTGGGTATGGGCCCTACCCGGCAGAATGAAAGGGCCACATCATGCCTATCGCCCAACCCACAGGGTGCTTGTGTGGTAAAGCTCAGCCTCGCCCCACCCAGCCCGGCCAAGGAGGAGCGAGAGGCTCACCTGTTTGGTGAGAAGTTCCATGCAGATGGCACCTCCGCCCAGAACATACCTGCATGAGAAAGGTTAGTCAGTTGTGCCTGGCAAAACCTCCAAGGCCCTTCCCCCGCTCTGCCACAGGAGCTGCCCTCTTCCTCATGCCCAGCCACTCACCCTCCGGAGAGGACTGGAGACACAACCCTGACAAATGGTGGGTCAAAGGGAAAGTTATCCTGAGAAAGAGACAGAGATGACAATCAGGGAAGGGAGGCCAGTATCCTCCACAGACTGTAAGGCAGTAGGGAAAGCCTGGGCCAGGGAGGGAAAGACTGGAAAGGAAAAGTCTTACTTTAAAGGAAAAATTAAGTAGGATGAAGTCAGCTCCTTCTTTCTCTTTGAGGATCTGGAGATCGTTGTGCAAAGCGCTGTCCTGGTCAACTCTATGAAGCAATGAGCCTGAACTCAGACTCCTGGTCCCAGCTCAGGAGCCTCATAGGGCTCCCACTGCCCACACCCGCTCTGGAAGCCTGCAACCAACACACTGGATGGGACTGCCCTGGATATCCCACCACAGTAGCTCCACTCACACTCCTCCACTTCCTCTCCAATCCCAGAGTCCCCACTCACTTGAGGAGTTTGACATTCCAATCATATAGACTGTCATTCACAAGTTCGACTGCATAGTTTCCTGGAAGCAGGGAGGAAGGAAGATGGGTGTTAGTAGGATGGTCCAGTTGGTGAGTGGTCCCAAATGCAGATCTCTTTGCCAAAAAGAGAAAAAGATCAACTGCTCCAGGTTCACCCTAGATGGACATGCAGCCAATCCAAGCCACTGGCTTGAGGAGCTCTATTCTTGGCCTGATAAGTTCATAAGCATTCACGTATCCCAGAACTTCCTGGGGCCCCTTGCCACCATATCCTTCTTTATGAGAAACTCCTGTGCAGGCCCTGCTCTGGGGCAAACTCACCACCTTTGAAACTCTGTGATCGGTATATATCCCTGAGCTCCTTCATCAGCCGGTCAGTGGCCTGCACCGAGCCAGA